GAAGGATCCAGGGAGAGCTCAGAGCCCCGGGCAGGGCCTGGAGGGGCTCCAGGAGAGCTGGAGAGGGGCTGGGGACAAGGCAGGGAGGGACAGGACCCAGGGAATGGCTGGGAGCTGGAAGAAGGTAAATTTAGGTGGAATATTGGGAAGGAATTCCTGGCTGGGAGGATGGGGAGGCCCTGGGATAGAATTTGCCTCTGGATCCCTGGCAGTGCCCAAGGCCAGGCTGGAGGGGTTTGGAGCACCTGGGACAGTGGGAGGTGTCCCTGCCAGGGCAGGGGTGGCACTGGGTGATCCTTATGGTCCCTCCCCACCCAAACCAGTCTGGAATTCTGTGACTAAAACAAGCCCAGAGCTGACCACCAGCCAAATCCCTGCACTGGCCCCTCTGTGCACAGCCCTGCTTGAATTCCCTGCTTGAATTCCCTGCTTGAATTCCCTCTTTGAATTCCCTGCTTGAATTCCCTGTTTGAATTCATGCTCGGGATTCAGCTGAGCAATACAATCAATGCATCCCCACAAAGCAGCTCCAAACTTCCATGGATTTTTAATGCTGTCCAGTGTCCTAAATGCAGGCAGCAGCTCCAGCTGCAGCTGGATATTGGAATCACTTTAAAACTCTTAATGGCAATAATTGTGTGTCACACAGGGAACGAATTCCGGCCCTTCCAGCCTGGGGGCATGAATCCCCAGCATCCACGGGCACTCAGCCTTTGGAGCTGCTGGATTCAGGGATGTCCATAAATATGAGGCTCCTCATTTTAGAAGCAAATGGTCACAAATGCTGAAGCTGCTTCCTGAGCAAATCCAATTTATTCTAACAAACGTTGACACAGAGGCTCCATTCACGTCCGTGGAGCTGTGAGCTCCTACAGAATGAATGAAATGCAAAATATTCGGTCTTTTTTTTTTTTTTTTTCCTGACTTCTGGTTGCAAAATGAGCAGATTTACACAAAGCAATGGAGAAAATTCATTTTTTCATTGGGGGTGATTCAATCTGAGCCCCATCTCCAAGGGAAGGTGCAGCTGGTGGCAGCAGTGGTGGCAGCTGGCCCTGGGTGACTTTGTCCTTTCCATAAGGTCACGGCAAAAACCAGCATTGCATAAGGCAGCCACCACCTGCAGCCCCAGGAATCCTCCCAGAAACAGCTCAGGAATCATCCCAAGGCTGGGGAAGGAATTCCTCTGGGGCTACACTTCC